TCCGACCGGGGCCCCATCATTTATTGCAACTGCTGAATTCCAGCATTAAACAGCTCGGTAATTAAGGCTCGCATTGAAATTCCGAGAAAGTAAAGCCCACTTGAATTTAAATGAACGGCGGATCAACGGCGAGTCTTCAGCCGGGTAACAATGCAAGCCTTTAACGTAGCGGAAAAACGGAAAGAACGTCGTTGCTAGGTGCTCTCGACACTTCCGGTATCCAAGTTGGACGTCGCACCATTAAGGGAAATATAATATCTGACTAAAAGCAAACCGACTACGCTTTCAGGTCGACCACGAGCAGTCTATTAAACGCGATCGTCTACGCGGATACCCGTTGAATAGTCGACCAGACGAAAATGACATAATAATGGCGAATGACGTGAATGACAATATCACTGACCACATATTCCAATCAATATATTTCCCAAATACAAGTTTATAAAGGGAAAAAATCTCAAACAGGAAATAACAAATTATTTAATTTAATGATGTGCAAGAGCGCTTTCGAAAATTTTGAAATAAATTTAGCGTATTAATTTATATTTATTCAATTATAAAATATTATATTTTATAAATTGAAATATAAGAATTTGTATTGCACATTCATGTTTTTGTGTAGACTTTTAGAAATCCATTTATTTTAAATACGTTGAAAATTTTACTATTTTATTTTCCCAAATTCAGGAAATTAAGTCTTAAGCTGGCGTGCAAACTTTCACAATTTAATCCATCCATCTAAATGTACAATTTCGTCCACCGTGCAACGCGAAGAACGGAAGAGAAAGATATAAGTTTAGAGAGAGAATACGGAAGGGCAGAAAAGGCGAAGTTTGCCCTGTCGTGTCGCTTCACTATCAATGCGACGCAAAGCACACTTTTGTTTTCCGTCGAATAAAAATAAAAGCGAGACACGAGCGAATGATATCCGTGATCGAAGCTTTCAACCGAAACGAAGTGCAAGACACGTTCGCGCGCTTTCCTCCCGCGAGCCTCTCACAAGGATGTACAATGTACTAGACTTCGAAAAGAACGGTTGAAGTTTTACCTTCGCCCGTCTTCGTGCACTTCTCTCGTCGTCTGCTTTTCCTGATGGTTATTTTTAGTTCTTCTCTCTTTTACCACTTTCTATTTTCAGTGTCTCTACCAAAGTATTGGGAGAGAGAGAGAGAGAAGTGGCGTATAATGATATTAAATAAAGTATATAACATATTAAAATATCAGCAGGCAAGAGAGAATTTCTCGCGCTTTATAATCATCTATGTAACATAATTATTTAAATCCATATATCTTGATAAATAGCATAATTTCCTGTCATTACTCGAGACTGTCGTTGAACCATGATAGAAACCGCCCCTCTATCAATTACGGTGTTTTATAAAAGCACCACTTAACTATTTTTTCTCTCATACTTTTGCGCATTAAGCGCGTAATACCGGTTATTTTCCGTACTGGGCTTTAATTGTCATTCTCCGTGCCCCTTCACGTGGATAATTCATAACCGACACGAAGAGTAATTTATTGCCGGAAACTCGTTAAGATCGCTGCTTCGAAACCAGTTCTTCGAAGCGGCCTGATAATGCATCTCGCGCCCGCTACGCCTAATCGATATCGTCTTCCTCGCGAGGTCCCGCGGATGCTTTATTATCGCAACACAGTTGCGCGTTCCGTATAGAAGTACAGATGATATTCTACAATTATATTACTTTGAAGAGATTGAAATCACTTCGATAAATCACTGAGAATTATGGAACGCGATCGCCAACAAGAAATTAACGATAAAAAGTTTTTTAAACACAACGTGAATAAAACATTGACATATTTTAGTACACAAGAAATGAAAAAAAAATGTATAGAACAAATATTTAGTAAGTAGCACATTAAACACAGAATTGCATAAACAAAATTTAAAAAATAATTCTTTTATAAAAATAAATCTCTTTTCTTTCCTTCAAAATTTTCTTCACAGAAAATACTATTCTGCAGCTCGTAATCCGCGATTAAAATTTGTTCTCCGCTTATCTTAATAACTGATACAGCGCTTATCTTAAATCGCTCTTATTACTTATGCAAATCCAGTGATGCAATGAGCAGCCTTGACGCAATGCCCGCGGTTCATCGATCAGACTTGAAAAATTTTTCCGCGAACGCCGACCGCCGACAATCGTAATGAGAGCAAACTATATCTTTATTGTTCCATGAGAAAAAGAGAGACGGAAGAAGAAATAAGTTGGTCGACGAGATAGAGGGGCAGAACGGCGGGTGAGGCCGGTACGTGTCTAGCTTTGAGAGTACACACCGACGACGAGGGGTTGTCTCCCTTGACTGGCTGGTGCGGAAACGACCTTGGAATCAGCTGTGCAATACGAAGATGAAATTTCCTACCGGGCGAGACGTGTCGACGTCTTAAGCGCGTAGGAGGACGCGAAGAATAACGTGAAAGAAAAGAGAGAGATGGAGAAAGCCTATATCTGTCGACGGGGTCGAGGATGGCACGACAATGAGGTCAGTGAGTTCCGATAGGGATGAATCCTTCTTGACATTCCTTGCATAAGTTATGACGGCACTTTTCCAAGAAAATTTGCTTTGCGAATGATGTGCCTCGTAAGAAAGGCACGTCACTATTTCTTTAACACCTCTCTCTTTAATTTCTCGTGAGCAGCAGCGGAGTAAAGCGAAGTACTTATTCACCGCAAAGTATCTAATTTGTTCTATTTTAGTATTTTAATTGAATATCATGTAATTGGCTGATGTTCGATAATTGACGATAATATCCCACGAATACGTTGTTAAATTGTTAATTTCATCGAACGGGAGCCGTGAAAATTATTCACGAAGAGAATCCGATTAATCGTTACAAAAAACCGGTAAAGCTCTCTTTACATTTTAATGTAATTATTGTTACATTTATTATAATATATTGTTACCAATTCAATATGTTACGTATTACTGACATGCTCATGATGTTTTTAACATAAACGCGAAATGTTGTCAATATATTATTCATTTGCTTAAATTTAGTTATTCAAGGTTTCTCCAGACAAAAATCCATATATAAAACTTGTAATAATAAATTATATTAAAACTTATTTCTCAATAACTAAGTATAAATTTATTTATTTCTATCATTATTCTAATAATAAATCTTGCTTTTCACGACAAAATATATTATCATACAACGCAGTCTCACATTTATCGGCTTTCTCATCGGTACACTCGCGAGGAAAAATTTACCGCGAATAAATGTTTAAACAGTTGTTTCGTATTTTCGGAGTTTCTAATAATATCTAATTATATATAATATAGTTTATCTAAAAAGTAACGATTAATTGGCATAATAATTAACGAATCAAGAAAAGCGAAATAATTGAGTAATCAATCGGCCGAAAATCTTTCGCAAAGAGTTAGCGCGCCATCCATCAGCTTTCGTTTTCTGTTTAACCAACCAATCTCGAATGATCGCAACGAACCGCGTCCGAGAGGCGAACCGTTTGCGGATCGGTGAATTTATTCTCCTGGACGGCTGGTGCCGCGATAAAACCAACGATATACGGTGTTAGTCGCAGCGGTGTAATTCGTTGCTGCAGTTTATCCATTGTATAAACAGGATTGCACGAGTCGAGAGAAAGAGAACTATCGCACCTGTGTACTTGAAATAATTGTTCGCGAACGCACCAACACATAAGGCAGTAGTATCTCGACCGGGAGTGGCTCGGTAATTTCCGTGTATTTCGCGCGGAATTTCGCATTAAAGCTCAATAGCTAACGAGCTATTTGCTATAATTATTCAGCTAACCGTGTCGGCATTCAGCATGCCGCATGGTTACGCCGGCCAATGCGTGCTCTCGTATTCTCGCTCGTATTCCCCAATCATTCGTAATGAATTTCCTTATGTTTCAGTATATTAATTAGAGAGTCGATAAACACGCGCAACCGTTGAGAACAATAGTTTGCCCGCAAACACTAATTACGAAAGCATCGATGGAAATTAATAAATTAATCGATTTATTTCGACTATAATAAGACAGTTTCGATTAACAATTTTAAGATATTATCTTCACGTACAGATGTTTTCTACTTTTAAGTAAATTTAATCAAACGATATAGCGTTTCGATAGCGTTTCGTGTATAAGAATGTGCTAGATATGTCAACAATAGATAACGACATAGCGAAAAAAATAAAGGTGTTAATCAATGAAAGTCGTCGAAAAACTTGAAAATTGCGCGACTTAATCGAGATTGCATAGACGTTATGAAAGTTCGAGAGACGGCGGCTCGTGCAGGGAAAGGGATGACTGAAGGCAATGATCGAACGTGGCGTGACCCGGCAAATTACTGTCACTCGGGGTAATTTCAGCGTAATCGCCTCTTCCATTCCATTTACCGCGTCTAAAGCGAAATTTACCTTTCGAGCGTATCCGAGGCGAGAGAGCGGCCGTCGAAAATATAACACGCTCGCACGCGCGCGCGCGCGCGCGCGCGAGCAATGTCGAAATAATTCGCCAGGAGACATTATACGCGATCTGCCCATCTATGTCGCAACGATTTGCACGTCGTCGTATGCTTTTTCCAAGCGCTTGTTCCCTCTCGTTGAATTTAGCAATTACTGCACGGCGCGATCAAATTTGCAGATGTTTTGTGAAGTCGCGAAGAACGCGCGACGAGTTTTTACTGATGTGTCATATGTTTCGCTTTGTTGCAGGAATATATAATGAGTAAATATTAACATCAATGTGCAAATTCGCGGCGCTTATCCAATAGAACAAACAATTTGTAGAAATAAAGTGCTAAAAACGATATAAAGACCTAAGCAGTGTGTTTATAAAATCAAGTCAATATAACTTTTCGTTACAAATTATTCATTTTGCATATTTACACTTTCTGGCTTTTTTTTTTTAAATTATTGTAAAATGTAAAAGCTTTTAATTCTAAATTTTCCTCATCGCTTAGATCTATATATTTCTCAGCACTTGGAATATATGTACGTATGTAGCACTTACGTTGGACACATTGTGGCTGCTGTATTGTTCTTTCGGGCTGCCGCTGCCGTTCTGCTCGCATTGCTTGTTCTTGAAGGCTCGGTAATTCTCTCGGAGCTGTTTGCCGTACTGGAACACAAAGCGGAGCCGGGCACCGTTAATGCGCGCGATGCAATTCGTGAGATGCACGCGACGGGCAACAAACACGCGCGCGCCTAACCGATTCTACGCTTCGAGCGCATCGCAACATCCGAGACCGACAAAGCCAACGGCAAAAACCTGCACCCACAATTTACATAATTTTACACGCGTTACTTTGTCGTGTAACGCCGGCCGGCCAGCAAACTTGCGCGTGCTGTCCAGTTGTGCGAAGCCGGCCGATATACAAGCTCGGCACTCGCCTAAATAAATTCAATGTTGTTACGAACAGAATGCGAAAGTACTTTCTGATGTGTCTCCCGACTTTTCCAATAATTAAATTTTTCTTCTCGATATTTTAGAATGTAAAATTAGCACATTTCAGAAATAATAAAGGAAAGAGATAACAGAAAGACGAAAAGACCGATGTACAAACGTGAAGAAAAATATTAAAATAAAAAGCATTATCCCAAATTTTGGTCAGACATCATCATAATTACATATATATAATTATTTTTTACTATCATTATTCTAATAAATATAAAACGCATAGCTTACATATTAAACTTTCGATAAATAATAGCGATCCGACAAATACGTAATGCTTTGCATCTATTTTTCAAGCAACAAGATTAGCAATATTGCATTTTAGACTTGAATTGTAATCCCATTTCTTACGTAAGTGGCATTTCAGTAAGTGGTTTGTGAACGTAGAGAAAATATTCAATTGAAAGAATCGATTCTTTTCGCTGGAAAGCACCTTTTCTTGCACGGACAACGATAAAGTTTCGTGGCTAGGTCAAAGGTAATCCATGCGAGCTCCTCTAAGCTTCTTATATCGTCAACGTGTTGGGCAGCATTCATTTTTAGTAAAGCTGGCTTAAATGAAGTTTATTTTCTGTTCGTTCAACTGAAAACTCTCATAAAATGTTCATTCTAAAAAAATTACTATTAATTATAAATCTGACAAAACTAGAAATACAATTTAATAATTATATTGCAACAGAAAAAATTCTCTAGTTAGTTCTAAGCAAACTCTATTTGTAATATATAATTTTAATTAAAAATTCAAATATTTAATATTAAAAACACATTTTCCATCCAAATTGCGGTTCTAAATACAAACGTAAAGTAAAGAATCTTGATGTACCTCATTTCATCAAAAGGATCAGGAAACTACGAACTGGTAAGTACTGCGTCAAGTAAATATTCGCGCACGCTCGGGTCCGTGTCAAACTTGTGAGATTAGACGCGACGAGACGAAACAAGACGAGAGGAGCTGACGATGCTATGTAAACGTATGCATAACCGTGGACCCAGCAGTGTAGCCATCGTATCGACCCAGAAGACAGACGGACGCATCCACGCTCGACTGACTGCTCACGCATACGCGCCTACCCACATGTGTAAGTTAAGTTGTTCGTATCCACGCGCACAAAGGTGCTAATATGCCAATATAGTCTGCAAATTGCAACGTAGAAAATTATCCCGCCGAGCTCTATAGCTACCGAAAAATCGGCTGCTAACAAAAATAAACTCGCCGCCATTCGAAGTTTCATATTACGATTAACATACATGTTAAAATTCTCGAATTACAATTATAAAATAACTTTGTAATTTTTATTCAGTTTCGTCGAAATAAAAAAAATTTTTTAAAAAGATATTCAAAGCGAGCAAATATATTTATTTCATGATAATAAAATTCTAATATATACCAAAAATAAAAATACGACGTGTTTCTAGGTATCAGTAGATATCGGACATGCATATTCTGTAACTTTTAACGGCGATGCCGTTATCGTTATGTGTCGTTGCGTAACTGTTATATGATATATGTTACTTGTGCAACGACACGTAACGACAGCGATGTTGTCGTTAAAAAGTTACAGAGTATAAGCATGCTGGATTAAATTCGCGCCCGAAATCGATATTTGCTTAGCGCAAAACGGTCGACTGTCTCGTCTTCGTTCACGACGCTCTCGCGAGAGGCGGGAGAGAAATTAAGTGAAACCCCGAGAGCTCGTCGCTTCCGCGTTTCGGGAGAGAAGCATGATCGAGGTGGATGCGAAGATGAAGGGCGGCGGCGACTAATTGAAGGCGGCCCCGGAGTATTGCCGGCGCGTTTGGGGAGATAATTACGTAATTCAATTATTCGCAAACGCAGACGGGAAACGCGCCAGCGAGGAAAGCGGCGAGACGCGAGTGCGCGCTAACATTAATCAGCGACGGGGTAACCGGCGAGCGATAACGAGACGCGCAGACTCTAAGCAAACGAAAGATAATGCTGCGTTGAACCTCTCGATATCACGTGTCGGCGCAGTGTCGATTATCGTTGAAAAGTTGCCTCGTAAGGGTTCATGACAAATCTCTCTTGCGACTGAATGGCCGTGCAGGTTGGCGCAACCGATTCTTACCGCGGCGTTTCTTGCCGCGGATAATTATAATTCTCGGATCGCCGTTTCTTCGCGCGGCAAGAAACTCCTGTCGGGATATAGAGTTCGCGCGATACGTATAATCGAGTAGAAAGCGGTCTGATATCTGAATCTACAATCCTCCCGCGATCTATTCACTTTCTCGTTACCGTTATCGCTTTATGAGCCGCGTGAACCCGGCACTTAACGTCAAATGACAATATTTTATTGCCACTTGCTAATGCGAACGATACAACCCTCGCAATCACGATACCTTTGTCTTACGCAAGAAACTTAATCTCGAACTAATCCGACTGCACAAGAGAAATATGTTAAACCGCTGTTACTCTGACATATTAATAGATCTATCAATTCCCTTTTCTATTTCGCTTATCCATTTGAGCAGTCGATTTAATTACAGAGATAACGAATTCTACGTACATTTTTCAGGTGAAATTTTTACGAATAAGAACATTGAAAAGCAGTCGTGCCGCCTTTGTTCGGGAATTCACCCTTCGTGATTCAACGAAGACGACTCTGCTATACTTAGACTTCATAGATTTCCAGTGAGGTGAATCGAAGTCCGCGAAGATTGAAATACGACAGAGGGTAGGAGTGGGAGTAAGGGTGAACGGCGTAGAAACAAAGGGAGCACAAAGGGGACGGGCGGGAGTGTCAATGTCTTCTCGATCAAAGCGAGTCCTGCAGGTTCCTCCACGCCTACCCGCTCATTTGCTCTCTCTCTCTCTCTCCTTCCCTTCCGCCTTTCCAACTCTCTTTCTCGTTCGCCGCATCTCATCAGACTCCTAGCTTTTTCTCGGATGAAAGAGTTACAAAGGGCCTCGCACTGAGACACGCGTAAGTACTACCTAGCACCGTTACCGGCCAAGACGGCGCGCATCTCGTCCTTTTCCCCTCGAACAAAAAGCGGAGCCGAGAGTAACGCGGCGGATGATGGAAGGAGAGAAGCCGAGAACTGGAGAGAAGAGTATACACAGTATAGATCCAGAGCGGAAAGGCAGACAGGCTGACAGGAGATGCAGACAGGCATAGACGGCCAACGAGACCGATAAACACTAAGCAAAACCGTGCCTGCTCGCCGCCGGCCACGGCAGTATAGATAGCTCGGGAAACCCTCGAGAATGCACCGAGGAAAGCTGGATTACAATTCTGCATCGTAACAGTCTCCAAATTACGTCCCGTTGCAGATTAGCTCGCTGTCTGGCCCGACGCGAATGTTGCTCAAAGCGAAGATAACTTTTGATAATAACGATGGCGCAAAAATGTGTAAATTGAATTACCGAGATTGCCAAAATTTAAGAATTAAAAATCAATTATAATAAAAATCTTATGCAATGTGCAAATATGTAAAACGTTATCAGAACTTTGCTACTTTTTTAACAGATAAATATTAAATTGAAAATTAATTTTTATTTTAGAATATACTTGAAGCTGCCGGGAGACACGTGTCACATTAAGAAATGTCGCTTTTTTTAATTTTCAATTCGCTTGGCAAGCATGATTACCATTTTTGCGAATGACAGAGCGATGCTCTGTCGATCCGAACTCTGCTTCGCGGAGACCAGCCGGTCTGAAGAGGCGGTCTGAGCAGGCACTCCAAGCACGAGGAAGAATAGACTTCTAAAGAGTAACGTAATAGAGAGTAGGCGGCCGCACTCCGGCGCTCCTCTCTCTTTCTCTCCGGCATGGCTGCCGATCGCGCGTTGTTAGCGAAAACCGTTACCAGCCATGAGTTACTCTCCTCCATCGACGAGCACTTTGCTCGGTTAGAATGAGAGAAAGAGAGAGAGAGAGAGAGAGAGAGAGAGAGAGAAAAGGAAGACAAAAGCCGTCTGCGCTCGAGAATAAACCGATATTATCGACGAGGACGGAAAAGGATGTCTCGCGAGCTCGATCCACGCAGAAAAAAAAACAGAAAAAAACCGACAAAGGAAAAAAACGTACGGTGTCAGTACCATGACTGCATTAAAAAAAAAAAGAAATCGCCAAGCGAAACGTGACAAGGCTGCGTGGTGTAAGTATGTACGCACGTCGACGAAGTAAAGTGTTCCTCCGCTCACCGGCCCGCTAAACACGAACCGCGCGCGAGTCACGCAACTTCTTTGAACTTCACGGAGAACTTTCGACATCCGAGTAGGAGACGGGTGGAGAAAAGGAGGGGGCGGGAGAGGGGAGGGAACGGGAAAGAAAATAAGGCTCATTATACCCGGGCTCCATCGCGGAGCTAATGATACCCACGGCCCGTCCGGAGAGGGATGATCACGTCGTGAGCGGAAAGAGAGGCAAAGTCGAATAAGAAGACTCGACGCGGAATCGGCTGGGAAACGAACATTGTAGCGATACTAAGCGCTATTATCCTCGCCGCGAATCCTAAGTACCTGTTTCTCCGGCTGATATTAGCTCGCTTTCCACTCACAAATTGAAGCAGTTATTTACTGAAGTTAATGCTCGCTTGCTCGCTCGCTCGCTCACTCGCTCACTGATAACTCCCAAAGCGTTATTTCTTTTTAATAAAACGTCCCTCATCTTCCAAGTAAATTTATCGACGTTCGAACGTTGCGATTCTAATCCATGCGAAATGAGAAGATGATACGTCTACTCAAAAATTAATTTCGTGTGATTGATCGTATTCAATAGTCGGACTGGCGACGTGCCCTCGAATCGCTGCACCACGTTGAGTATTTCTCGGATAGAAAGCGGCGATCCGGCGAGGCCGCGGAAAAGCAGGAAGAAAAATTGTGTCGCTTACCTTAGCGAGTCTCATGGCTGTGAGCCAGCAGGTGCGCGATTTTTCGTTCTCGAAAGCGATGACCTTGATCCCGGGTTCTCCCGACTTCGTATCCTCTGCCTCGGCGTTGCTGTTCGGCCGCAGGCAGGCGCCCCACTCGAAGGGTGCGCCGAACACTCGCTTTGCGTTCGGTATCCTGTAGACGTTGTAGTCCGACAAGTGCGCGATCGGGACCAGGTATTCGCTGTCCTGCAACAAAAACGATGCGAAAACTTGGTGAAAATTTCGCCCGAAGATGTACAGTTTACGATGACTGGCGGAACTCTAAAATAGAACGCGCGAAACAGAGCGCTCGAGCAAAAAAAAGAGAACTTAATTAGTTAAAAGCGATCATTATCTTCTTCCTCGCGTTGCAACGCTTTTGTGTTGTGTTATCGGGTTATACGAGGCTTTCAACGTCGGTAATTAGTTTAATTCCCCCCCCCACCCCCCCTCGAAGCGTATTTAGCGTTTACGGTCCAACACAAGAGGATAACGTAACGATTATTCGATACGACGGCACGGTTACTGTGCCGGCATATGGCGAACGATTTTGCAACAATCGGCAATTGTTGGCTGCCATTCGCAACGATTACAATGGATATCGGTATTAATAATTGGCCAGTATGACCGACGAATACGTGCTAGTTAAGAATGTGCGGGCCAGGCGGCGAGATATTCCCACGGGAATATCACGGGCGAAGTAGTACAAGCGTATCTGCGAGCGGTCCGCGCGCAAAAACTGTCGCGAGATACTTTCTGGTGGACTCATCCCATCGAAAGTCTTCCCGGGAGTCCCCGTCGGATTCAGCGGGAAACTTTCTTTCGCGACGTCGCCGGGAATCGCGAAAGCAATTTATTATACGCCGGGACGATTTTTACGGCGCGGCGCACCGCGGCGACGACAAACTCTTATCGCGGAGTCGCCATTATTTGCCTGCAGCAAGGGAGACCGGGAAAGTCGCGTTTGTCGAGTGATTTCCGGCAGTAAATATTCATAGACGTTGGGCGCGCTCGGTGTTCTCAAACGAAACTCGTCGAGGTCGCGTCCAGCCGCTCATTCGGAGAGCATGCGCGCGCGCATTCCGTCCTCGTTTTACAAATCAAAAACTAATACGCGCGTTTAAATTTTTGTATTAACATAATAAATTAACATAATTTGCACATTTAATATGAAGAGAGTTGCTAAAAAGTAAGAGCCTTGAGAAAAGCTATTTTTATGTTACATCTCGTTTCTTTTCTTAACATTAATAATCGATTAATAATTCTTTTTAAAAATATTGGATTTTTTGCTTCATTAATGCTGCACGCCCTCGGATTGCATTGCACATATGCGACTTCGACCACTAAATAGAACTATCAACGTCGAGAGAGTAACGGTGGATTAGCCGTTGAGTAACGAAATGCGTACACGCCTCGGCATCCAACAATTTCACGCACAGTCGGTGTTGGAGCGCTTTTATATTTAACGCGGCATGCATTCCTCTCTCGCGAGGTGTATCTATCGTCATTTTACTCTCTGACCTTTATCCGCTTATCGACACCTGTATGATATGCGACCAACTTTGAACCCAACCTGTCGATTTTTAAAAATCATCTCTTGCCACGTTCCTCTTGTGGCGTGAATTTTTCATTAATAACAAGTGCCATATTTGCAGAAGAACTGAATGTTCCCTCGCGGTTCTATTTTTGAACAAAATATGCATATGAAACTTTTACGGAATGAAAAAAAATTGAAAAAGGCTACATATTAATTAAATGCCGTCTACGATTATTGAATTAATGAGTCCACAAATTGTCTCACTCAATGAAGAAAATTATTTGCTGATGATATCACTTGAATGCATTATGTGATGCAAGTATGCTGTCAATTTATGTACAAATCGTATCTTGAACAATGTGAAAACAGCATCGCGTTATCGAGCACGGCAAGATGATTACATCATTGAATACTTATACATTCAAATTACATGAATAATTTAAACTTTACTTAGTCTTCATCAAAAATTAAAAAAACTCGCAAGTATTTCACACATTTTTCGAAAAGTCATTTCTCAATCGCTCGCGCCGCGTCGAAAGGAAGGGTGCGGTTGGTCAGGGACATATCTCACCTCCTCGAGAAAATCTCGTTGGCTGTGGTTGCCGTCGGTGCTTGATAGTGCGACGACGACGATGATGCTGCTGCTGCGCAAGCATTCGTCACGCGTACACAAACAAACGGATAAGACAAGAGGGAGGAGAAGCGTGTGTAAGAGGAGCAGAGCGAGATAGCGTCGGAACCGCTGCAATACGGCTCAGCAAATATTTGATGATTAGCTCGGTTGCACCGCGGAAGAGCGGGACTGCGTTAACGGTTACGTAACTATTATCCGGCTAACCACGTAATTACGGATGAAAGCGAACGAGAGAAGGATGAAAAAATTAGAGTTGAATAATACTTAAGAGTAGCGTGCAATATTTAACAAACGTACTGTATAAGTACGTATAAAAATTGTTGACATAAAAAATATAAAAATAAACAAGTTTTTCCGAGTAAATAGCTCATGCGAGATTTATGCCCACGCATATGCAGCTTTGTTCCGCTCCTTTTAGCGAGCGTCCGTAACTCTGACACGTGTAACTGCCGTTGTCATATGCATATCAGACGCGCCCGTCGCCGTCCGTGATCGATCACGAGCAGTATCTCCCGAGGATCGTGTCTCTACATGCCCAGAAGATAAAAGTACACGTCAAAACACAAACGAATTAATGGCGATGTCAGATGGAGGCGGATTGAGGACGAGGCGCAAAAAGTAAGAACCTAGAGCCTCTTTTTAGATCTTCCGTTATTGTGTAATAAATTAATGTAAATATATGTAATATTAAAATTGAAGACATTTTTTTCAGTATAATTCTAATCAATATAATTTCTTTGATAATAATTGTGTTATTTATAAATTATTCCTATAACAAATATTAATTAATTACAAACTCAACATGATTATTCACAAAGGGAGTCAGTGCGGTTTTTGTTGCGTAAAAATAATATAAAATAAAGTCAGAATTTGAGCACGTCAACTGCACGATTGGAGCAGTTAAATTAAATAATTGCTCTCTTAGTGAAGATTTTAATATATAACGAAAAAAAAATTTTTTTAAATGAAGAAAATCTTTTGAAAAAATTATTTATCGTTAACATTGAGTGCAGTAATTCCAAATAGTTGTACGTCAGCGAATCATAAAAATAATTGTTGCAACGTAAGATGTATTCACGGCCGCTATGGCGAAATCGTGCCAGGAACATTGGCAAGCACATTATGATTTGTACGCCTCAAGTCGATTCAAGTATATGCGACATGTACGTTAATTCCTCAAATTTCGCTCTAATAACCGCTACTCAAATGCGAAAAGAAAGTAGGATAGTCTAAAAGACTCCTTTTATAATTCATATTGTTTTAACGATTCACGTGATAATTAGCACATGATAATTATGCCTATAAATCTCTATAACTTTCTCAGTTGTATATCTGCTCATTATATTTTATTATCATTATTCTTTATGATAAAAAAATTATTATTGTAATTATTATTATTTTATTAATAATAAATACAGTAAAATTATTATAATATTATATTTTAATAATCCGAAAACTTTCTATTCGTAAAATATGAAAAGTATTATTCAATCTCCTAATTGCTTTTTATGAAATTCAATAATGACTACAGAAATCTGTGGCGAGAGAAAAATTAAAAAGGAGATAACGTGACGAATCGAGCTCAAGATGTGGGGGAGAAGAAAGGAGTCCAAAAAGAGACTTAAGTCAGGCTCTTTTCTATTACGAACGATACCACGCTGCCGCGAAATTGATGATTCATCGTGATAAAAAAAAAAGTCCCGGCAACACGTCGACAGACAGTATAATGATAAGTATGGAGATGCTGCAAGTGAGAGATTTCGCGATAACCTCTCGAAGCCTGTTTCTGCATTCATCGTTTTTTTTTCGCGACGACGCAGGAGAGCCAGAAGAATTATAGACATTTCCGTCTACGGATACACAACTTCGGAAACGAGAAACTGGTTTATAAATAATTCCAGAAGCATGCTTTCGCGCGCAATTGAAGGGAAAAAAAGAAGGGAGATACACATGACCCAACGGTCTCCGCGCAATCATCGCCAATAAATATGATCCCGCCGTCCTTTCCATCGTCATCATTACGAACCTTCTCACCTTCGTTCAAGGATATAGCACAGTCGAGCGTCGACTTTGAGTCTCTGTTTATTAATGATTTATATTCTTTCGCAAGCAAAGTACGAATTTTTTACATTTTTTATGATTGTAAGCACATTTCCTCTTATACTCGCATCAAGAACGAACCGCACTCGAGCGCGTCACGTTCAACAGAGACTCGAACCGCATCGGCGGTCGTTGGCCCGAAATGACATCGTTAACTTGCCGCTCGCGTGGCAGTGAAAGGATTGACTCCAAGGCGGCATTAGACCGGCGTTAGAGATCAGTGGTTGGAGAGAAGAGGAAGACAACGTACGATAAGTCAGGTTTTTCCTTCTCCAGAGGCGGCGGAGAGACTCGCCGCGCTGCAAGCCAATGAGGAAAGACAAGCGAGGAGAGACTGTGAGGGTGTCTAGAGGTAGGGATGCAAGAAGAGACTCGCTGCGTGCAGCGAGCACATTGAAAGTCGGCGGAAAGGCTTTCTCCGTAATCTATCTTTAATTTTCTTTACTATTTTCTAAATCTGTAGCAAGTCAAGTTTAACAAATTTGCAAAAATATAAGAAATCTATATTTTACTACATTTTACTATAGCGAGATGCAAATATAAATTTTGAATGCGACATGGCAAAGTAAAATATTTATTTAATAAAATTAATCTTTTTAATTTTTTCTGCTGGTATTTCATACTTTAAATTGACATTTGCCGAAGACGTGCAAATTATAAATCAATTAATTTAAAGACGGCATGCTGGAACAGCTAAACTTGCGAATGGCAAAAGGAGAGATCATCCGCGACGGTAGGGAAAATCATAAGAATCATTGATTATACATTGAGAAAATGTAGGCCACGCTCCCGGCGTTGGACTTGCGCTATGATTACGGTAATAATGCGAGAGCGTATAACGGTAAGCATCCGTGAAAGGCGAGCCGGAGAGACAACAACGGTCGACTACTGCCGTCGAGAACAGTGGAAGAAAGAAGGAAAGAAAGGACGAAGAAA